GTAAGGAGGGGCGTTCGTAACTAGAGGTACCACTGTATCAGGTTGCATGAGTTTAATCAAAATTTTCTTTCAAATTATGTTTTTGGATCTGTCAGCCCAATGAAGTAGATCAAATCAGGAAACCAACCCCATAGGAAGACTAGAACTGTGTTTTATTGAGATAGGCTATAGTAACAGAATTTTGTGAGTCTGTGTCTTACCTTCCCTCCTTCTTACATCCCACTGAGTCAGGGACAAGCCAGACTTAGCCTCTTCCTAATGCTATCTCCTTTCCCAGGACTTAAGGGATGCTTCAGCCTTTATTTCTGTCGGTTTCTGAGTACTTCTTTCAAGGCCACCTCCATGGCTCTATACAGCATGAAAGTCTGTCTCTGTAGTAGAAAGCTAGGTCAATTAGTATTTCAGACAAAAATTAAAGTATATCAATACAATCAATATCAATACTTATGGGGCATTTGCATAATCATTTAGAAGCACAAGAAGGCAGCTATGTTCCTCAATGGTTATGTTAGAACTGTTACCAAATTCAAAATATAATATTTGTCTCTTTAGGTTTATGCATTTTCTCTAGGCTGTTGGTTCACAGGATTTAATTTTACATTTGGTATACAAAAGTGAACCCAAGAGACGAAATCTTTCATTTGTGTGCTTATAATGTGTGGAATATGTACTTTCTAAGCGGAATATTTTTATGTAAAATATATATTCTAAAGATGCTTTTGCTGGTATCTTGTACAGGTATAAAACTGTTTTATAATGTGGAAGGCCTTACACATAATGGAAGGACAGAATGCACTGAAATTCTGAAAAGGGGATACTTGTTAGGAGTTTTACCAGGTGGAGCCCGAGAAGCACTCTTTAGTGATGAGAACTATGACTTTTTATGGGGTAGCCGCACAGGGTTTGCTCATGTGGCTAGAGATGCAAAAGTGGTAAGTAGCTTTCTGCTATTCATTTAACAACATTAAAATAAATGTTACAATGGACATTGGATCAAATAGAAATCTATTCTAGATTATTAATTCACTCTTCCATAACATCTACTTCATTCCAGCCATTGATCTAAGTTTGCTGTAAAAGTATATGTGGGTTGCTTGGATGACTTATAGGAGGAAATTCTTACCTTCTGGATAGTCATGACTCTGGGTGGTGTATACTTTAAAAACAAAATTAAAAATGGATAAACAGATAATAGATCTCCAGAAGAGAATAGAAACCAAACCAAACAACAAAAGCAACCTATCAGGACTCAGCAGGCACCCTGTTCCAAAGTCTAGGAGAATAGCCAGGTTTTCAAAGACATATGGAACATCATTATGGTGGGAGCCATTTGGATCTCTGGAGAGATACTATTCCAGAGGGAAGGTGCTGCAACAGAGAAGGTATGATTTCTAGGTCCTGCTAGATAACATTGCTTAATTGAAGGGGCCTGTGTGTGCCCAGCCCACTCTGCCAATTTTACTAGATGGGCAGAAATGATGGAAGATAGTCCCACAGATAACCAGGCTCCGTGCCAGAAGGGCTTCATAGGTGATAACAAGCAGTTTGAATTGCACCTGAAAGCCCACCCATCAGCAACCAGTGCAGCTTGTGGGCAGCCCATCACTGCCCTTTCTGCTACATTCTGGACCAGTTGTAGCCTGTGGATGATCTTCAAGGCACCCCACATAGAGTATGTTACCATAGTCCAACTGTGAAGTGGTAAGGGCAAAAATAAGTAATTAAAGAGCAGTCTATGAATAGGATGATAGTCTAGTCATCAGGGCAGATCTACTGAATGCCTTTGCTTTCAAGGGAAAAGGACAAATGGTAAAAAAGTGGGGGGACAAAAAATGGAAAAATAGTCACATAAATGGACACCAAAAGATAACTTTTTTAAAAAAATATATTTTTATTAAAATTTAAATGTAGAAAAACTAATACAAAACTATAAAACCTACAAAGAAAAAGAAAAAGAGAAAAGAGAAAGAAATATAAAAGATGACTTCATCCTCCCTCCAATTATATTTATTAACAGTAATTTAAC